TGTGTGTGTGTGCGTATGCGTTCCTTGCTGGTCCTGTGTAAATATTTTGCACAATTTCACAAATCCTCCTATTTTAAAAATAATTTAGGCATACAGCTTTGGAAAGTAAGCAAATAAAGACAAATAAATAGCATTTTTTAGTAAATTTAAATAAGGATTAAGCATCATTTGCACTTTAATTCATAACCAATGTTCCAAAAGCTCTTGATTATTGACTCTTGATTATTGTTCACACAAATATAATATTGTTTATGAATAGATGCATGTAGTAGGGCTGGGTTTTGACACCAATTTCACGATTCGATTCTCATTCACAAGCTTGCGATTCGATTCGATTCGATTCAATATCGATTATTTTGGATATATATATCAGGTACAGTAGGCTACATGCCAAATTTTCTCAAGGGAAAAAAAATCTAATGCTGTAAAATATACATGAGAGTCAGTTGGTACTAGCTACATTACTATAATATTGAAGGTTAAAACTGATTTGTAGGCTACACTGCTAAAATTACACTTTTTTAAAAAATTTTAAATAATAAAGTTATTATTTAAATGTAAACATTTATAATAAACATTTAAATGGTGGCAGTCATAAAACTTGCTGGATCTATTGAAACATAAATTAAACACTGAAGAACAGTACAAATTATAAGGAAGATGTTACATGGTGCATATATTTAGCAACATGCCCCTCTCTGCAGTTTATTTTTCAGCTGACTTATAAGTTTATGGTCACCAAATATGTTTTTCTGAGGTAAATGTGACGTTATGTGACATTGTACAAGACGTTATATTGACGTCTTTGCACGGCTGAAACACTGATTGAGCGATTACATGAGACAGGATACGGATTGTAAAGTTTACTTTTAACTTGCCTTTGGATGTTTAGTCATGTTTATTTTGTGCTGAAACTGGTATTAATGTGGAGGAGATGATCAGTTCACGTGCGCCTCGTGCTGCTGCGTCTGTGGAACTGAGGCGCAGCGATCGGTCACTTCACATTAAACAGCGCCAAAACGGCATTTATTGTTTGAATACTGCAATACAATGTACAGAATTTGAAATCTGAGACTGTTTCATATTAAAAGTACCTAAGCACAATGCTTATTGCGATATATTGGATGGGAAGTGCCCTTCAATGTTCCGTCCATTAAATGAAAACAGGCTAGACTAATCGATTCTTGGGATTTAAGAATTGATATCGTTCCGTAAAAATAAAAATCGATTAATATGGAGATATCGATATTTTTTTACCCAGCCCTAGCATGTAGGTAATGCTGTGTGTCTTTGTAGAAACTAGGCTAAAGGTGAACTGCTTGAACTTGCATGACAGTGCACTCTACTGAGTGAGTTCATTTGCCTCAGATGGGACACGTTCCTCCTGCTGCTGTTATTAATAGGACCAGGAGTGGAAGCACACACATAAACCCAAAACAGACCTACAGCTCATTCTGGCTGAAGAACTGAAGAACAGATTCACCTGTTGCTTTCATCTCAGTTAGGAAGAGCAGGCTATGGAGAAATTGGTATTTCAGTGTCCTTGTCCTGAAAATGATTGGTTATGGGAAAACAAACATGCTAAAGTGGAATGAAATCGAGCTACAGAACTGAAGAAACTAGACAGAGCGTTTACTCGCCGTCCGTTTTAATCCAGAACAATAAAACTGGACACAACCGTGACTACTGACTTTTTCATCAGTTTTGGAAGTGTTTTCTGCATTTGAATTAAGTGAAGCATTTGAACCCTTGAACCAAGTTGAATCACAACAAAATAGAGTGTGAGCACTGAATAGATTTTACACAGGAGGAAAACGGAGAGTTGGTCATAAAATTCACGGATACTTTAAAGACTTTATAGTAGTGCTGGGCGGTATGACCAAAAATTTATATCACGGTTGATGGCAGGGGGCGGTGGATATTTGTGGCGGTCAATGTGGATATTGTGAATGAGTTCTTCTGTGTCGTCACGTTCTATTAGTTCTACAGCTTCAGTTTCGGAACTTTCACGCTTAGTACCACATACAGCTGTTCCCTCACCACAGTGCAACAGTGAAAAGGGACCCCTTTCAAACAGTGTCGCGTTCCGAACATTGTTTAAGCGACATACACCGGTATTGCGGTATTTTAAAAATTCATATCATAACGAAAATAAACACCGGTATTCGGTATGAACCGGTATACCGACCAGCACTACTTTATAGCACTTGATGCTACTTGCCCTAATGAGAATTTACCATAGTTCTTGCACAGTATTCATAGCTTATTTGTTATTTAAAGAACATATAATGGTTACACCTTTAGTTTCACTAAAGCATCAGACGTCTGTCCACAGGAAATCTTATTCTTGTCTGTGGCCTCTGAGAAAGATGCTGTGAAGTTGCTACTAAGCAAAAGTTGCACTGGATTGGATCACATGGCAGTATTCTCAAAGCACGACAGCAGATCTCACAGGAAATCATCACAATACCAGGCTTTGATGCCAACTAACTTTCCTACATAATGATGTGGTTTATCGAGGAGGGGGAAAAGTGAATTCAAAAGAATTTCAATTATGTAGCTAGCACTACAGAGGATATAAGGACTGTATTTTCAGTCTTTTTCATACTTTGATGTAGCTGAATTCAAAAGCTCTTTCAAAAGACTTTATCTTGTGTCTTTATTAAAACGCTCTGGAGCTCATTTGTGTCTCTGTGTTTGATTTTAAAGAGCCCGTGGCTGTGGAACACCCGAGAGTGCTGGTACAACTACCCCTATCAGGTAGATTTATACTGTCTGCTATATCAATAATAATAATTATTAAAAGGGTTGTACTGTATCGTACTCTTTTTTTTCTCTCTCTCTCTTTCTCTCTGAGGGTATGTTTACATGACAACAATGTACTAAAAGAGGAAAAGTTTTTCCTTTTGCATTCTTGAAAAGTTTTGGATACAGACGTCAGCGTTGTCAAAACGATCTGCATTCACACGGATCCGCAAAAAAACAAAACTGTATTATGCACGCCAGGCCAGAAGTTGACGATGTCACAATGTAGAAAAAGAAACACTACGTGAACATGTAATACGCATGCGCAGGACATCACCATTTTCACAAATTCATGTTAGTTTATCAACGATAACATAGGGCTGAACAATAATTCAATATCAATATGTATCGCGATATAATTTTAATTTATCAAAAGTGATGATAAAGGCATTTATAATGTTACAAAAGATTGCTATTTCAGATAAATAGTGTTCATATCGATATCGGAATTATATCGTATCGACCGAAATTAAGAAATATATCGTGATATCAATTTTGGCCATATCGTCCAGCCCTACGATAACAGTATTGTTTTCAAAAACTTGCACTTTGAAACACGTTTTCATTTTCATGCTCCCAAAATACTGTTGTGTAAATGAATGGCCAAAACGCATAATTTTTTCCCCATTTTGAAAACGGTGTCGTGTAAACACCCCCTGAGATCCACCTAAAATATTAGTGAGGCAAACGGTCATAGTTTAGTTTTTCATGGCTATATTTCACCCTCTCTGACACTTAGATCCTTTTTGAAAGTTACTATTTTGCATGGCAATGCATTAACACTGTAGTCAAACAGAATCAGATAATTCAATTATTACATTTCTAATGCAATTTTCAATATCCTTTTCATTTTTAAAGTCAGGGTTTCCCAAACTAGGGTTCATAGAACTGCATTGGGTCACACATATATATATATATATATATATATATACAGTATATATATATATATATACACATATATAAAACATTTAATTTTAAATCATTTTTTTCTCAAATAAATTAAAAATACAATAAAAGATTACTTTATTAGTTTATTTAGTTTTAGTTTATTAGTTTATTTTATTAGTTTACCAGCATGTCATGTGATTAATAACCAACATCAGAGAATCATGAACATGTAAATGTTTTGTCAAAATTAAAATATTCCAGGAATAGTTCACCCAAAAATATGAAAATGTACTCATCCTCAGGCCATTCAAGATGTAGATGAGTTTCTTCATCAGAACAGATTTGGAGCAATG